ATAAACTTCAAAGATAATGGATAGAAACAGAACTTTAGTACTTAATCCGGACTTCTCCACTACAGCTAGCGTATTCACAAAGGGTATATCTATGCTACATGGTTATTTCAAAATAGCTACCCTGAATCTTTACAGGCCACCCGTTATTTTGAAATATTTTTTTAAATAACGGGCATCCTATTTTGGCACCCCAGTAATCCTGTCCCACAAGGGCTAAGGGATGTCTCAAAATACCACATTATTTCGGAAGTTGGCACTGTGTAGACAAGCCAACTTTCAAAATATCCTATTTCAAAATTCAATCAAAATAAGATGTGCAATTTGCATAGTGCAAATTGTGTTTCTTATTTTGAGCATAGGGTGCTGAGAAGACGCATCCAAAATTGCATTGGTTTCATGAAGGTGTAATTCTAAACTGATGTGCTTTAAACATCAGAGGGGTAGCCGTATTAGTCTGGATCTGCAAAAGCAACAAGGAGTCCTTTGGCAACTTATAGACTAACAGACGTATCGGCGAAGTGGGTCTTTGCCCATGAAAGCTTGTGCTCCGATACATCTGTTAGTCTGTAAGATGCCACAGGACTCCTTGTGCTTTAAACAGTGCAACTTTCTATTGTGACATCCCTAACACAGATTTAAACTGATATATCAGTTTCTCTTGTGCCATATAGGCCTATAAGTGCCCACAGAGAAAACTGTATCTGCTTAACTAATATGATTTTTATTCCAATATAAGTGTAACTTCTGTGGGTAAGCAAGCTCACACTGATTTCTCACCTTGGATGATCTGCTTTATTACAAACTCCACATGGTCAAAACTGATCTTATTTTAATTTTCAAATCCTCTCCACTGCCTTCCATAGAGATAATAATATAACCATCTTTGCTATCCTGATGATGTATCTTTGACTCCTCCCATCCCCCTACACTCTATCTAGTCAGTGACCAAACCTGACACTATTCCACAAGATTTCAAAGATCTGCCCTTTCCTTTTTTTTTCTTCCCCTTACTAATCCAAACGGTCTTCTGCACGTTATTTTACCTTGAATCCTATAACCTCAACTACTCTTCTGTCTTTCATCTATTTAACTTGTATTCTTAGAATCCATTAAAAATACTGCAGACTCAGATGATCATCTTAATCTACTCCTTTAATCACAACACATACAGACCCTTGGAACTCCTCCACTCCCTATCAAGTCAATTGTGTCTTGTTTGTTTTCAAGTCTTTACATTCCTAGCCTCTCACTCCTGTCGACTTTTGCTTTCCTTCTTCACCCCTCTTCATTCCATCAGTAAGACCAGCCTCAATATCCCCATCTGGTTATTTCACTTCCTACTTTGTCTTTTTCGGGCCTCCCCTAGGCAAGAAATGCTATTCTAAAACTGACTGCTAAGATGTTTTACTCCTAAAAACACCACTGCCACATTTCCTACAAGAAAAATGTGTTAGACCTTTTCACCCAAGGAACTGGACTGCTTTTACAACAAAACAACAATATACAATGCACAGATCTAAACCCTGGTTCAAATGAACCACTTTTGCATGAGAAAGAATAACCACTACTTGGAAGACCCTCGGTTTGCCCACACACTTTCAGACCCTCCAGATCACTCAATACAATACATTAATGAAAAGACAGAGACAGGTTCATACGGAAGATTTTTGCTTCTGAACTACATGAAATCTTTCGAATAATTTCTAAAACTTGAGGTCTGCCATAAAGTTAAGCACCCAGTCAGCATCTTGCTAGAGTAGGATTTAAGTCATAAAAGCCACAGACATTCATGTGGAATTTACAGTTTTATTGCAGCCTGAAATATGAGAATTAGAAACTCTGGCAAGTTATAATTTACATTAGCCTGAACTACAGTTGAAAAAATATGTTCAGAAAAAACACTTCATATTGTTAAGACTAAGCATATAGTCCATTTATAAAAAATGTTAACAAAATATTTAATCAAAAAATTATGTGAATTTAAAACTTTGTACATGTTATTTTTGAGGGATGTCAATACTTCAGATCTACAACAGAACTAAGCAACACAAAAGCTATATAGAATTATATCACCTTGTTTCATTAATAGCCTAATTATATTCATTGCTTTAAAGTTGGTTTTCTGGATGCAGCATGATTGTGACAGTGGAAGTGTCTCATTCACCTCACCCCTCCAAAGTTATCAAAAGCTTGATTCTGAGTACAGGCAGTCCCCGGGTTACGTACAAGATAGGGACTGTAGGTTTGTTCTTAAGTTGAATTTGTATGTAAGTCGGAATTGGTAGATATTTTGGGGGGAGACAGGGAGCTGGAGTTAGGTGGAAAAGACCCTGATTCTCATACAACTTCCTTATTCTAAGAAAAACACATACTGTTTTGATATGAAGGTTTTTTTGGTTGATATTTTAATTAAAAATTGATCATAAGTTTCAGTGTTTCATGCTATATCCAAATCTTCCTTTTGGGGTACCTGAAAGATCCCAGTTATTCATTTAATAGTCAGAATCTTTGTTTTTTATAACTAAAAAAAGTTTATTCAATGCATATTACTGTTCCAAATAGAATTTGCTACACATGGTTCAGTGAAATGGGTATTAAGTGTAATCAATAGTCATTGGAGAGCACAGTGAAATATTGATACAATCAAAGCTGTTGTTGTATTCTGCTGAGCAGAAAATGGAAATCCCTTCCTGTGAAGTGTGTGAATTTATCCACAGGATTAATTTTAAAGAAAAATTCTGTGTTGGGAACATGAGTATAGCCACAGGTGGGTCCTCATTGTCCACTCACCCACTCTGCAACCAGACCCATCCCCTCGGGGTTTACCCTGCTCCGCTCCAGCCAGGGTGTGGGGTTGGAGCTTATCCCCTCTTCCCTTCTATCCTGCTCCTCCCCATTCTTGCCCTCCCACACCACTGGGTAATTTTTCAGCTTCACCTCTGCCAGGCTGGAAGGGACTTGTTAATTTCACATGACGCTAACAAGATACTTGCAGCTCTAGTGCTGAAGAGGGAAAGAACTGTTGCTCCCAAGATGGGGACTGTAACACAATGGGTCTCACTGCCTGCTGCTCCTGCTGTTCCCTAGGAAATTAATTTTTCAGCTCTGGGGTGCCCCCTTTTAGCTGGTGTCTTGTTCCCCCCAGCAGAACCGCGTCCTCTGCAGCGAGAAAAGCTGCTCCGCGTCTCCCTGGTCTGCTGGGGGGAAGCACCCCCCGTGCCGCCAGAGGTGGTGACAGGGGGAGGCACCCCGCACTAGCGGGGGCTCCCCCCAGTTCGTAACTAGGGGTCCGACTTAAGGCAGACTGACGTAATCCGGGGACTGCCTGTAATTCAGTCGGCACACCCTGCAAATTCTAGGTATGCAATTAGGAAAACTACCTTATCTCCCCCCTCCCCCCATCTGTAACTAGGGATCCGACGTAAGTCGGATTGATGTAACCTGGGGACTGCATGTACTCTAAGCCAGCAGTTACCAACTGCCAGTCTGCGGACCAGCACCAAGCTGTGAACCACTAGCTGCTGGGCCACAGCAACTCTGAGGGACAGGGCTAGGGTACACCACTCAGAACCTCCCCTCTCGCCACAGCTGTTGGAAGAGGCTTGTCCTATGCCACCTTTCAGCCAACTGGCGCCAGACAAGGGTAGGGTCTCCTCCCAGCAGTTCACTGTGCAGCAGGAGGGCCACACAGAACCTGGCACAGCAGTCTTACAGGAGCTACTACCCTGGCAGCAGCGCAAGGCTAGATGAACGGGGCGGGGCTGGCATCGGGGGACTCTGGTTCTGGAGCTAGTGCTGGCGAGCTCTCAAGGTGGGGTTCTAAGAGCCACAGGGCTAACACCAGGGGGCTCTGGAGCAGGAAGCTGACACTAGGGGGCTCTGGAGGTGGGGCTAGCACTGTGGAGGCTACGGGAGCAGAACTGTCAATGGGGGGCTCTGGGGACAGGGCTAATATTGGGGAGTGTGGGCTGGCACAGGGGGCTCAGAGGGGGTGCAGTGGGCTTCTTGAAACAGGAGGCTGGCTGGTGGTGGAGGATTCTAAGGGGCGGAGGGCTGGCACTGGGGAGCTCTGAGGATGGAAGGATGGCACTGGGAGAGGTTGGGTGCAGGGGATTCTGGGGTCAGTGGCTGGCACTGGGGAAGAATGTGAAATTGCAGTTAATGGACTAGTCGAGTAGTCATGGAATTTCCATCGACTACTCGACTAGTCGATAGTATTTTACATCCCTACCTCACGCCAGCCAGTGACCCCAGAGTCCCCTGCACCCAACCTCCCCCAGTGCCATCCTTCCATCCTCAGAGTTCCCTAGTGCCAACCCCCCACCCCTTAGAGCCCTCCACCATCATCCTTGGGGCTCTTGTACATTTCAAAGGAGGAATGCGGAACTCCCTGTACAGCCCGGGCCAGCAGGAAATCCCATTGACTCCAGGCTGCACACACGTGCCTGCTTTGAAATCCACAAGAATCCCCAGCGGAGGTAATTACTAGAAGTGGCTGGTTTTTTTCAGTCAAATAGTAAATATACAGAAAAATGCAGTTGCAAGTCAAATTCAGTGAATAGTTTTAGCCAAATAAAAAATGGGATGGATTTGACAAAGCTGAACTGTGTAAATTTGACACATTTTTTTAACTAAAATGTTAGTTCAAAATGTTGTTTCAAAATCTCATTCTGAATTATTATTCAAAAAGTGTATTTGTCCTGAACAAAAATTTTGCAGTTTTTCAATGAGAAAAAAACAACAAAAATCAATTTTGTTTCAAAATGAGCCAAAATTTTTTGGATTTTCTGATTCATCAACCAAACTGGAAAAAACAATTATGCACTGAGCTCTGTTAATGACTGACTCTGTACTGGACTGTAGGAGCATCTTAGTAGGATTTATCTTTTAAACATATGCCAATCCAGGAACCTCTATTGAATACTTCCTACCTGCGAGAAACAAATAAAATGGTATTAAGTGTGAAGTTACACCAATAAAGATTAAAATAACATCCATACCTCCTATTTTCTGCCAAAAGTGCACCTTCTTCTTTTAGTTGTTTACTTTTTTCCATGCAGTCTTCCAACAGAATCTCCTTTCTTCTCTTAGTGGCATGGAGCCAGTCAACATCACCATTATCAACCAGACCTTTGTCATCAGCAGCTTCAGCTTCAAATTGTTGGGAAGTAGCCTTTGAAACCTTCTCACCAATCTTCCTCTTCCACCCAAAAGAAGCCATTCTAAAAAACTAGATGAAAACATTTTAAATAATTTGTTTCTAAACATATGGAGGAAAAAGCCATCATATGTTTGATTTATTCATCTTGATACTGAGAAAGTAACTGTCATTCAATCTCATGAATATTGAATTAGATGTCAGCCTACTGACAGCATAAGGCCAGTGCAATTCTGAAAGTGTATGGGAAACATTTCTCTGTAAGGTTGACTAGAAAGAAAAGCAGCATTTGAAAGATGAAGTAGTTCAGGCAGAGATAGAGAACAAATTTGGAGGACAAGAGGTCAAAGATGCATGATAAATTACAAAACCTGTGATAGGATGTGTATTGACTGTTTTGAAATGTGGGTGGCACTTAGGGTACTGATATAAGTCTATAAAGCCCTAAGTATCCATGGGTATTTGGCAGCTCTTTTCATTCTGCACTAAGGATGTTAAATATTGGTTAATAGAATAATCAATTAACCTCATGAATTATTATAGGTTAGTTGACTATGTTATAGTCCCTGAGCAGCCCCTCTCTGGGGGGGCGGGAAAGGGTCTAAGCTCCCAGACCTGGCACAAGCTGGGCTACCTGCCCACCTGGCTCCTAATACACTTTAAATGCAGAGCTGCAGCAGGGGTAGGTCCAGGACCCAGTGCAAGCCAGGACTGAACTGGATGCTGGCTAAAAAAATTTACTGGCAAGCGACGGGGGGGGACGGGGGGAATGCATGGTCTATAGCATTATAAGCTTTTGCTTATCAGTTAATCGACTATACTATTACATGTCTACTCTGCACCATATGCTATTACCTTGCTACCAGTAGAGGCCTAGCAGCAAGGTGTTCTTTGTGAGACACTCTCATTTTTGGACTACTGGGGCACATTGAAGGTCTCCTCCCATTCAGTAAGAAACAGCAGCACAGGAGGGTAGTTTTGATGCTGTTGTTGAAAGTAGACAATCCAGAACATGATAGTTTAATATTGATTTTTGACAAAGCCAGCTAGAGCCAAAGAAACACAGGTGATCCATTTAGACTGTTATAAAACAGGGATGGGGAACCTAAGGCTTGCCTGAATCCAGCTCCTGAGTCTCAGGGCTCCCCCTGAGCATTGGGGAGCCTACACGGGCACCCCAGGTCCCCCTCTCCCACTATTCCCCCTGTGGGGGCTGCTAGGGTTGCCACATGATTTCAACAAAAATACCAGACACACTTAACATTACATCACAATCTGCATTACATCTTATTTAGAAAATACTGGACATTTATACTTTCTTAATTTGTTTCCCAAACAGAAAGCTCAAATACTGGAGTGCCCAGTTCAAAACCGGACACCTGGCAACCCTCGGAGCTGCAGCACACAAAATCTACTAGCCTGGGCCCAACTGGTTTTTCTGTGGGTTAGCAGCCCCTGACCTGGAAAAGGTTCCCATCCCTGCTATCAAAGGTAAAGGAAAGCCCCGTAACACAGTGCAGCAGAGCCTAAGGGACAAGGGGGTCTAGGATTACGCAACTGTCTCGTCAGCGTGCTACGCGCCCCTTTCGCACACGTGCCGCTGCCCTGGCTCACAGCTGCAGGCTCTGGAGGTCCCCGGACCTCCACCAGCATCGGAGAGGGAGGGGGCGCTTTCCTAGGGACTGACCCACCCCAAGCCGGAGGGTTAGTGTAGCTCCCAGCGGCACCACGAAACGCCGCCGCGCAGGGCACAGCCCCGGAGTCCATCCCACTGGGCCGGAACGGGGAGGAAAGCAGGGGAGGAACCCGCAGCCAGAGGCCGTTACCTGGCCCCCTTTCTGGCTATTGCTCTTCCGCCACCTCTAAAAACACGACCTTTGAACCCGGCTAGCACGGAAGCGGAAGCAGCCGCCGCCTAGGAGGAAGCGGAAGTTGTCCTTCCCAGCCTGCCTCCTGGTTCCCCCCCCCCCCCCCCCAAACACACCAACC